GGCTCGCTCTGACCTGGTTTACTGGTTGAGGAGGAGGAGGAGGGATTAGGAGCAAGAGAATGGCAGAAAAGGGAACCTGGGGGGTGATTTCCTTTCCGTTTCCTCCCGTGAGGATGCCGAGGGAATCGTCATCGCCATCGCAAACGTAAGTCCGGTCAACCACCTGTCAGTTGCCATGAGGAGGAGGAGGAGGAGGAGGAGAAGGAGGAGGAGGATGGAAGACCTTGACGCGGTCAAAGCTCGTGAAACTCCATCCTGAGAGGGTGAAGACGATGGCTGATTTGATCTGAAACTTCTTGGGGACAATCTGCGAAGCGGGTCAGCAGAACTTCTCCTCGCCTCGTCTCACCTCGAAGATCTGCGGGAAGGTCAGGAGGATCAGGACGGAGCTGCTGACGTAGGGGCTGTAGTACGAGCAGCCGACGTCCATGCAGTAGCGATGGCAGATGAGCCCAGTAGTGTTGGACCCTTCGAGCTTGATGCTCAGGATGAAGCCGCTGCTGCTCTCGTCCTTGGTGAACGATCCGCTCTCCCCGAAGGCGAAGGGCGGGGAGGAGGAGCAGGAGGAGTTGGCATCGACCACTCTGACCTTGTCCGTGACGTGCAGCCCCCGTCCCTGCAGGAGAACCTGGCTGAGTCGATTGAAGATGATGTAGGTGTGCACGGGAGAGGCCGAGAGGACGCGAGGAGCGAGGAGGAGGATGAAGTCTTGCCCCTGATACTTGCAGGAGAACCGATCCTTGTAGCACAGCTTCACCATCCCCACCGCTGTGACGGCGAGCTCGAAATATAACTGTGCTTCGCTGCTCGCCTCGCTCACCCACCAGGGACTCCTCTCCTCTCCCCCGTCCACCACCAGCAGCGAGCTGCAGTCTTGGTCGGAACGAACGATCTTGAGCCTGCGAAAGTCGGAGGATGAGGGGACGAGGGAGAGGAAAGGAGGAGAGGAGAGCTTGAGGAGACAAGAGATGGTAGGAGAGGAGAGGGAAGGAGAGGAAAAGGAAGGAGAGGAGAACAAGGGTGAAGGAGGGAACGAGGAGGAGGGAGTGAAGGATGGCGGGCGGGAGGGTCACCTGTCGCTGGTAGAAAGTCCTTCTCCCTGGATGACGATGCTGGTGTTTTCTCGCGCGTACATGCTCTTGTTGTAGACCTGCACGAATAGAGGAGCGCGGACGTCGACGCTGCTCCCTGCCCCCACCTCCTGCAAGCTCGAGGAGCCACTGGGAAGGTAGCAGGCGCGCAGAGAAATCCTCTCCTCCTCATGCCGAAAGGTAGCAGAGAAGGAGGTCCCGACAACGTCCTCCTCCTTCACCTCGTACCGCAACGTCCTCGCGTCCGACAGGACGGCAGCAGTGACGGAGGAGCAGGAGACCACAGTCAGACCGTCTGCTGTATAGGAAGGGACAAGGAGGAGAAGGTCTCCCGCCTGGTATCCTCCGCTCCCCTGCAACGTGTACTTCTGCGCCCTCCCCGCGAACGTGAAGAGCGGATGGATGAGCGATAGCGTCGGGTAGGTGACGGCGACCCTGGTGGGGAGCTCGATGGAGGAGGAGAAGCCGAGCGGGACGTAGCAGGCGCGGAGGGAGGAGGCGACTTCCTCGACCTGGAAGACGAGCTTGTACCTTGACTGAGAGCAAGGAGGAGCAGGAGGAAGAAGATCCGCTGATGTGACGACCTTGAGCTCTCCTCCCTTTGCCGCCTGCATGCTGCTCGACACCTGCCAGGAGGGAGACGACGCGGAGGAGCAGGGAGACTTGGAAAGGACGAGACCGTCCCCGACTGCCAGGTTGGTCCCTGCCAGCTGGAAGGTGGACGGAAAGTGACGGGGGATGGAGATGAGACCGTTGGCGGCGGGAGGGAGGACGATCGAGGGGAGCACAGTCTTGACGAGAATGGACGAGAGGGCGATGTAGCTCCTTCCTGAGGCTGGCGCGACGCAGATGGAAATGGGGGAGAGCGAAGCAGCAGCTGGGAGGATGGAGAAGGAGAGTGTGGCAGCCTCGTTGAGAGAGGACGAGATGTTGACGAGCGGAGAGGAGACGCCCCCGAGAAAGATGGAGGAAGAAGTCAGGTCCCCGCACGACTGAGCCAACTTGACGAGGTTTGAGGAGGAGAGCCCAGCCCCTCGCAGCAGGAAGGCGACGGTCTGGCCCGGCATGATGGTCGTCGGGGTGACCTGAGTGAAGGAGGGGTCGAAGAGGAAGGAGATTTTGCCGAGGTCGATGGCGTCTCCTCCCTGCTCCGCCACCACACACACCGACAGCTGCTGCACGCTGCTCCCCAGGATCATGGCGTACGCGTCTCGTCCTGCCGCGTCTTCACTGTCGAGGAGCGGGACGATGTCGCCCTGCGCCGTCAGCTGGTTCCTGCAGTCTTGTGCGAGGAAGAGCAAGCTGCCCAACCTGCTCGCCCTCCCGATGCTGCTGACGTTGAGCCTCGTCCTCCTCCCCGTCACCGTCGACTTGGGTTGGAAGTCGGAGATGTTTGCTCCTGCGGAGATGACCTCGAACGAACCTCCTCCTACCTCCACGAAGGTGCTCCAACCCTTCCCCAGCAAGCACACCTTCATCCTCCCCCTCTCGAGAATCCCGTCGGGAAAGTCAGCCCGCATGTTGGTCACCGCTTGCCCTCCTCCTCCTCTCGCCACGTCTGCCTCGAGGTCGATGCTCCCCGAGCAGTTCCTCCCCTCCGGGACGATCTTGAGGAACAGCTCTGGAGCTGTCAGCCCCTTCCCCTCCAGCAAGACCGTTAGACCGAGTCCAGCTGAAGTCTTGCTGGCGTCCCTGAGGTCTACCAGGGTCTTCACGCTCACGTTCTGGGTGGCAGGCGGGAGGATCTCAACCCGACCTGCCTCAGTGAAGGGTGCTCCTCCCACCCGCACGCAGACCTTGGCCATGCCGCTGATGCCTGCGAGCAGGGAGAGCAAGACGATCTGCTGCTCCTGCTGCGAGCTCGGCTGGAAGGTCGCGCGGTCGCTGGTGGTCACGTCGGGGTATACGTCAGCATCCGCACAGCTCCTGTAGGGAGAGAGGAGGACGAGGGAGCGAGAGAGGGAGGAGGAGAGACCCCTCCCTCGCACCGTCAACGAGTTGCTGATGCCGGCATAGGCGATGGAAGGGACAACGTCAGAGACAGTCGGGAGGAGGGCGAGGAGGAGACTGGCAGTTGAGTTGCTGGTGCTGGTGGAGTAGCAGACGGAGTAGTTGATGGGCTGAACGACGGCGGACGTCAAATCATAGCTCATGCTCACTGCGCAGTTTCGCTCAGATCCAGTCGAGAGGTCACAAGTCAGAGGTCCAGGCGTCCATGGCGAGGAGGAGGAGGAGCTGCATGAAGCTTGCGAGGGGACGAGGTAGATGGAGTGACTCTCGCTCATTCCGCTTCCTCTCACCGTGAGCATGAAGGATGTTCCGAGGTAGACCGAGGAAGGAGAAACACTGCTGACCCTCGCTCGGTCAAGCTGCAGCCCCCCCTCTCCGACAGCTACGAAGACTCCCTTGGAGGAGGAGGAGGAGTAGCAGACGATGAAGCTATTTCCTCCAGCACTTCCCTCAGCTGGGGAGACGAGAGTGAAGGTGGCCCACTGCCCGCGCGGATCCACCCGAGCGTCGAAGAGTTGAGAGAGCTGGAGAGGAGAAAACCAGAGAACAGAGGCCGCTGAGCAGGAGAGGGAGGAGGAGACGAGCTTGAGCTGGTCAGCTCCGCTGATCCCTCGCCCCACCAGCCGCATCCTCGTCCTGCTCTGGTAGGAGACGATGGGAGGAGAGACACAGTCCACCACCGGCGCAAGGATGCTGAAATGCATCACCTCCTCGTAGGGGCTGTTGGTCCCATCGGCGGCCTCCACCGTCGAGCACAGCCGCACCTCTCCGCTGACGGCGCTGGTGATGGAGAGGATGGCAGAGGACGCGTTCACTGCATGGATGTAGGAGACGAGGCTGTTGGGGATGAGGGAGAAGTCGGAGGAGGTGGGGAGACACTGGCAAGCTCCCGCAGACAAGGCTACTCCTCCTCCTGTGCACTGGCAACTGGGCCCGACGGGGGCAAAGGGATAGCCGCAGAGCTGGTTGCCCGGGATCATCTTGACTTTGACCCGATCGCCGGAGTCAGAAAACCCAACGCCGAGGAAGAGGACAGTGAAGGGAACGCCGAGGACGGGGAAGCTGTTGTCCTCCAGGCTCGCGTTCAAGATGGCGGGGGACCAGATTCGCCGGGAGATCGACGGGACGGCAGAGAGGAAGGAAGCAGTCTGCCAGGTGCCGGAGATCAAGTCAGGAGACTGCATGGCGATGCAGACTTGATAGCCTGACACGGCGACATTGGGGACGAAGGAGATGGAGGCAGTGACTGCGTCGCTCCCACAGGTTTGCTGGATGGCGCATGCAGTGCTCTTACTCGCACATTCGATCACTCTTGCCTCTCCTCCCACTATGTCGACCAGCCCGTTGAAGTTCGTCTTCCCTCGGCACTGCCGCGACAGTTTGACCTTTACGGGGATCATCGCAGAGTTGAGCAGGCCGAGATCTCCCAGCAGCGTCAGGGTGACCGGCTGGTTCACCATAGGGACAGCAGGGCTGACAGCTGAGACGACAGCTGAGGCCGGGTAGACAGTCAGCAACCAGGTCTGGCCGATCCACGAGTATCCGTACAAGGTTGTCTTCATGGTCCAGCAGACCTGCAGGGTTGTCGTCTCGTAGACTTGAATGTTGAACGAGTACAGGGCGAGGTCTCGTCCAGCTGACATGGAGTCCAGCACCCTCCCGTCCCCTCCCGTCACGTCGCTCGCGTCTGACATCGAGTAGGTCTGACAGTCTCTCGCGAGTTTCACTTTGATCGGCAGGTTCGACGAGAGCTCAGGAAACGCGACGGCAGGCTGGGCGACCAACGTGACGATGAAGGGAACCCCGGAGATGGCGTAGGAGGTCTGAATCTGAGTGATGGAGAACGCAGGGAGAGAGATCGACTGCTGACCGACCCTCATGTACGGGCTTGACGCAACCCGCCAGCACAGCATCAGCGTCACAGGCTGCACTGTCAGCATCAGCATCTTCACCACAAGCTTCGAGTTCTCAATCGTCGCGACCTGACCCTCCGAGCCTGGGATGGTCCCGACGTTGTCGGCATTGGAGGAGCAGTCTGCCGCTGCCTTGACGTAGATGGGAGTTGTTCCTGTCCCAGTGGTACCGACGAGCTCGATGGCCAACATTTGGCCGAGGCTGACGAGGTTGGCGAGTGTGAAGGAAGTGATCTGGATGGGCTGCAGGGCGAGGGAGGAGGAGCCTGCCTGCTTGTACGAGGAGCCGACGAGCCTCCAGCAGACTTGAGCTTGAGATACCAGGATCGTTGACACGAGCTCAAACCCAAAGGAAACGCCGTCAGACGAAGTCTTGCCGGCTCCTCCCTGGATGACTTGAGTGGTATCGCTGTCGGTGTTGAGCGAGCAATCGAAGGAGATTTTGACTTGTAGCGCCGAGACAATCAGGTTTGAACCAGTCAACGAGAGCGAGAAAGGAGTTCTAGAATTGACTTGGTCTGGCGTGAAGGAATGAACCACCATCTCTTGCAGGAAGACAGCATAGTTGCTGAGCGGGGAAAAGACAGTGCTGTATGTCCTTTTGTAGCACAGGTAGACCGTCTTGTTGGACATGGCTCCCAAGATGAAAGATGCTGTCCCGACACTACGATCTGCACTGACAGTCAGTGACACAGTGCTTCCATACACGTCTGTCAGCGAGCTGGAGCAGCTCGACGCAAACTTGAATTGGAAGCTTCCTTGACCGCTGGCAAACATCCTGCTACCACCGACAGTGATGGAGAACTGCTGCCCTGACCGCGCTGAGCTGGGAAGAGTCGCATTGATCACTACAGACTTGTAGATGAGAACGCTCCCCGCTTTCGTCAGCGACTGGTTGAAAGCACTCTTATAGCTTGTCCCAAGGTCCCTCATGCACACCTCTCCTACTGTATCAATGTCGGAAATCAATCCACTGAAGTCAACGATGCATTGTGTAGCCGAAACCGGAGTACAACTTCGACCGTCTCCACCTTTGATGTTGCTAGTATCACTCGTTGGTGATATCGAGCAATCATCGGTTATCTTAACGAAGGTATTGGCGTTGAATCCACCCCCTGTCAAGGTGACAGAAAAAGCTGCGGATGAGTCCAGAACCGGTGAGATTGCTTGGAAGTAAGGAGCCCGGATCAAGAACGTTGAGTTTCCGACCTGTGTCCAAACAGTAGTCCCAGCCATTCGAGCACACACTTTGGCAGTAATGTCGTTGGTTGTGGTGGAGAATGTCACAACAGCTTGTCCTGAGTTCGCGCCTCGATCTGTAAGGAGAACACTGTCGCCTCCACTTATGTCAGACGTATCAGTGAAGGCCCCATCGCAGCTTGTGGCTATCTTGATACAGATCACGTACGGCGTCAAAGCCATGCTACATGAAGCTTGAAGTTGACTGGTCCAGATGTTGGTACCTTGCACGATGAAGGTCACTTGATTGCTGGGACTCACGGCATTTACTTCTTGATTGTTCTGCAATCTCGCTGTCCAAGTCGCATAGATCGGAGCCTCCAGCTTTGCATTTGCAAATGGTAATCCATAAGAGTAAACTTCGTAAATCCTGTTCCCTCGAGAATAGTTCAAACAAAGCGCAAGCTTGTCATACGGATCGGGCGATGTCAATCTGAATGTGAAGGTTCCGCTCGTCCCTTCATTGTTTGCAGTTGAAAGTCCGACGTTGGTCCCTCCTGGCATAGATAAATCGTTCGAGCAATTGTCTGGTTTCCAGCTCAGCGAAAGCAAATTCTGGTTAACAACCAAACCAACGCCAGAAAGTTGCAAAGAATAATCATGCTGTGACAGAAATTGCAATACAGGTTGTGAACCAGTTTGATTCCCAAGATTCATTTGCGAGGGCAAAGACAACGCTGTCACATTTGGAGGACTGACAAGGACGGTTCCAATAGTTTTCCAAGCCTTCGAGTCAGAAAAGTAGAAGCACACTGAAAAAGTCCCTGGGCTTGAAATTCGAGCAGTCACGGTTGCGGAAGTCCCAGCCTCAGATACTGAGTACATACGTGTAGAAGGAACAGAGAAGTATAACGTTGAATTCTGGTCGCAACTGCTGGCGTCGGTCAAAACTGCAAGCATGTCCGTTGAAGAAAGTTCAGAACCAATCAATTCCACTGTCCATGCAAGATTGATAGGCACCGTACGAGGGCTGAAGTTGCTAATGGACTTGACGCAACATGCTTTGCTGACTGCTGAGAGCATGATCAAGATCTTGACGTACTTGCCCGCCATAGTCGCGCGAGGAGTAAGACGACGCATGCGAATGGGGCGGTACAAGAAGGCAGCCGGCAATGACTCAGAGGAAGGAAGAGGAGGATAGGACAAGAGGAGAACGATCTGAACGTGATAGAGGAGGAGGAGGGAGGGAGGGGAGGGAGGAAGAGGGGGTAGCCGCAAACGTTCGTCCCTCCATTGGCGGCGGCTCAGGGATAAAAAAAGTCAACATGTCAGTTTGGCGGTTATTTGCAGGATAGAGAAAAAAACAACATTTTACGGCTCTGCCCCCCCTTTTTTTTCTCTCTCGGGGGGCCGAGCAGCCGCAATGACTGTGTGGTTCCTTTTCCTCCTACCCCTGTCGCTTGCTACTTCAGCGTCTTCCTTCTCCTCCTCCTCCTCCTCCTCCTCCTTCTCCTCCTCCTCCTTCTCCTCCTCCTTCTCCTCACTGTCGTCTCCATCACACCATTCCTCCCCCCTCGTTGCATTTTCCCCTACATTAAGCTCGTTCCGCGGTGCTTCAATACAAAAAAGCGCATGCAAGCTACAGAGATGTCGAGGACTAGTTACCTCCCGCTGCTCGTTGCAAGCCAGTAAGTTAACTGCTGACTCCAGTCTCTGCCTCTGTGAACCCTTGCACCAGACCAAGGTTGGCCATCTTTCCAGAAGTCCTTGTGGGAAAAGATGGACATTTTACCTGTAAGTCGATTACCTGCTCGACCGTCTGTAGAAGATCAGCTGCAAGAAGATCAGTGGTAATCTATCCATCTCCTCACAAGCAATGGCAGGACATTGACAACACCCTCCTCGAGCTCACCAAGACTCAGGCACAAACTGACCTGACGCTTGTTCGATCCTCCTCACTCACGGTAGGACACGGGCACTTGTGACCTTGGATTCATAGCCAAGAAGAGCATACAGCCTGGAGACGTCTTGATCAGCGTTCCTTTGGGTTGGCCATCCCTCTGCTGCCATGAAGGCTGAGTGGTCGAACAGACTTGGCCATTACTGTACCCGCCAAGAGCATCAAGGGCGAGCTTTCCTCAGACATTCGGCTGGCGGTCAACCTCTTGCAGGCTCGCAGCGTGCGATGAGCTTGCAGCGAGCTGAGGATCTTGTCAGGTGCTGGAGGAATCAGGAGATGAAAACGAACAAGTACGTGCAACGTCGATGGTGTCAACATAGCTGATGAACCTCCACTCTGCTCAGAAGAGCAAACTCTGGCAAGAGTATGCCAATGCTGTTCTGCCGACAGCTCTCCACTCAGCGGTTGACTCGAGCGAGCACGAGGCGATTCTTATGCATAAAACGTGCGATGACAGGTCATGTGGGATTTAGAGGAGATCGAGCAGCTTCAGTTCGAGCCTGCCGTTGAAGAAATCAAGGAAATCCTCCTCATTCGACAGCCTTGCTTTTCCATTTCTGAAGTCTCCTCCTCCTCCTCCTCCTCCTCCTCCTCCTCCTCCTCCTCCTCTTTTGCCTCCTTGCCTCCTTTTCCTTGCTCTTCTCCTCCTCCTGCTTCTTCTCCTTGTTACAGGCTCTCAAGCTGCACTTCGATGAGCTTGTAAGGTGGGTGGAGCGGTCGCAGTCAAAGTTGCGTCGCGTCCTCCGACTGCCGCCGATCGCTAGCTCATGTTGCTCCCAGTGATTGTGCAAAGGAGAACAACCTGGACGAGGAGCGTCTCAAGTGGGCGCTCGGGTGAGACTCTCAGCGCTGATCAGCTGGTTTTGACAAGCTCAACCGCCAGTATCGTCAGGAGCCGATCGTTCTTGCTGGACAGCAACGAGGACTTTGCCCGACCAGCCCGTAGTCTTGTGCCTGTAAGAGAGAGAGAGTCAAGTCATATCCGACCTCAAACTCCTGTAGGCCGCAGACCTCTTCAACCACCTGCCCGAGTCCCCCGTCACATGGTATGAGGCGGCTGGTTGCAGGAGGACGTGATGCGGTGAAAGGGCGAAGCTGGAGTCCGAGTTCAAAGACTCTCTCGAGATCCTCGAGAACCCCTGGCAGGTAGTCCGGTCGCTGCCTGGCATGTTCATGACTGACGATTTTCACAAGGTCGTTCAAGGGGATGACGGAGGTTTGATCCCGTCCTGTGTCGTGAAACCTTCTCCTCAAATCCTCCCCCCTGTCTGATGCTCATCCTGTCCTTGTGCGCTGTGCGCTGCTGTGCTGTCACCTCGACGACGCTGAGAGTTGCGTTACAAGACTCTTACATCGACATCTGCTCAACAAGGTGCCTCCTTTTCCTCCTCCCTCTCTCCCTCGTCATCCTCCGACTAGGGAATGGAGAGCCGGGGAGGAGGTGCTGCTACCGTACGGACTGGAGACCAACATCGAGCTTCTCTCTGCCCATGGGCTCGTCCTACGGGACAACGAGGCCGAGTACCTCGTTCTGTACAAGGTCACTGAGTTTCCCCGTGCCACCTCCTCACCCTCTCGATCTCTGCAGGATCTTGTTGAGCTGCTCGGAGACGTTTGCGAGCTTGAGTTGCAGGAGAGTCTCGATACGGTTAGCATTTCCTCCCCATTCCTCCTCTCCTCTGCACTGGACTCTTCTTGATTGTTTCTTCCCCTTCCCCCTCCCTCTCCTCTCTCCTCTCTCCTCTCTCCTCTCTCCTCTCTCCTCTCTCCTCTCTCCTCTCTCCTCTCTCCTCTTTCCTCTCTCCTCTCTCCTCTCTCCTCTCTCCTCTCTCCTCTCTCCTCTCTCCTCTCTCCTCTCTCCTCTCTCCTCTCTCCTCTCTCCTCTCTCCTCTGGAACGACGTCCTTGAGTCATCCTGATTGTTTTCTCAACTTGTTAGGTGAAGCTCAAGCTTGAGAAGCTGCAGACTGCGGATGCCTGTGAAGCTCCTCTTGCTATCCGACCTGGCAGCGTCGAAGCTTCTGGTCGTCTCCTCCTCCTCATGTTCTTCTTATGGATTTTCTCGATCTGATAACACTCCTCCTCCTCCTTTACCTCCTCCTCTTCCTCCTTCTCCCCCACCCCCCTCCTCTCATCATCATCATCATCACCACCACCACCAGCATAAGCAGCAGCAGTACCATCATCATCATCATCATCATCATCATCGTTTGCATCACCATCATCACATCCCTTGCTTGCTCCTCGTCTCACTGTCGTCTCTTCGCTTCTTTCAGGCCACCTGCTGTCCTCTCTACAGCTCGCGTACGCCACTGTGGACGAGCTGCCGGACTTCGAGGATTCCTTCAGCCCTGCGATTGGCCATTTCACCATGTGCTCTTCCAGCTTGTCCCCCGAACGCACGAAGGTAATTGAGGACGAGGACGAGGACGAGGACGAGGACGAGGATGTCGACGAGGACGAGGACAAGGAGATGTTGTAAATCTAACATGTGACGCAGGAGCTGCGGGCGAAGGCGATAAGGAAGGTGATCAGCCTGTGCGAGGAGGAGCTGAAGAGGATGGAGACGTCTCTGGCTGACGACGACAAGGAGATGGTGCTTGTGCCATCAACCCGATCCCTGCTGACCGATGATGAGCAGGAGAAGCTGAAGCCGGTGAGAGCGCAGACAAGTGAAGAGCAGAGTCAGGAGGGCGATGAGAGGGCGCAGGGAGAGGAGGAGGAGAAGTAGGAGGTGGTGGAGGAGGGGAGAGGGGAGGGGAGGAAGAGAAGAGGAATGTGGGCAGGACAGAGCAGCTTGTCTGAAGTGGGTCTGTCATGGCAGGGGGAGGAGGCGACGCAAGTTCGCCGGAAGTTGGCGTTGGAGTATCGAGCAGGGGTGAAGCGAATGCTGACCTCATTCATGGAGCAAGGCGAGCAGGAGCTGAAATGATCTTAGAGGAGGAGGAGGAGAAGGGAGGGAGGGAGGGAGGGAGGTGAGACATCTTATTTCATCTATTGGATACTTTACATTCACCCGACCCTCGAGCTTGTCTGCTACCTAATCGTTCTGATCAGCCTACTCGCCTCCTTCCTCTCGCTTCCCCTCCCCTTCCTCAGCACATCCAGCTCCCTGCTCTTCACCGTCTGGCTCATGCTGGGAGCACCGATCTTGAGCTTTCTCCATCGCATTTGCCGGTCCTTCTCCCTCCTTCCCATGATTGCCTCCAGGTCCTCCACCTCCTCCTCATCCTCCATGACCTGGTCCCACATCGGCAAGCCTCCTCCCCCCACCTTTCGCATCCCCCGGCTCGTGTACACCTCATCCCGAGCCCGCGCTAAGTGGAGGATCGACCCCCTTGCTAGCTCCGACTTCCTGACCTGCCTCGCTCCCTCCAGGTCTCCCAGCGCCGCGAGCTTCTTCCTCCTGCTCCGCTCTGCTGACTCGCGGAACTGCAGCCGCAGGTAGTTGGGCATGATCTGAGCCTGCCCCGGAGCCACGTGAAATCGCTCCAGCTCAGTGCCGAACAAGGCCTCTCCCCTCGCCATCTCCTCCCGGTACCTCCTCGCCTCAAGAAGCCTCCCGTCCTCTACCTCCTCCTGACCTTCTCTTGCTGCCCCCTCCTCCTCCCTGCCATGATCCTCCATAACGTCAGCCCCAACCTTGTCCCCTTCCTCCGCTTGCTTGCCCTCGTCCGGCCTCCTTCCTCTACCATTCGCCACGTCCTCTCTCCCGGTGTAAGCTTCGGTCCCGGTCAGCACATTGAAACTTGCGTGCTCTCCCATGGTGTTCCTCAAGGGTTTACCCTCCTCCTCCTGCTCCTCCTCCTCCTCATCATCATCATCATCCCCCCCTTGGAAGTCACGCAGGGACTCAAGTTTCGCAGAAGCCAAGCTGAGAACCCTAGCAGTCGAGTCCAGCACCGCCTCCTCCTTCATCCCCCACCGCTTTCTCAGTCTCTCGCTAGCCGGCATGGAGGGCGGGATTCGCAGGAGGGGAGCCTGTTGAGGGAGGACTCGCGCGGGCACGCCGTCCTCGAGGTTACTCGCGCTGTTGACCACGTCCTTGTGGTAGAAGCTTGCAAGAGGAGGCTTCAGCGTGTATGACCCTCCCTGCTCCCCCGCCCTCCTCTGCCTCCTGATCCTCATCACCGCCGCTGCTCTGCTCCCCACCAGCACCTGCAGGTTTCCCTTCCCCACGTACGCGGCCCACTGCCTGTCCACGTAGTCGCGATACATCCGCTGGATCCTCCGAGCGGCAGAGTGAAGCAGCAGCTCCCATGCGAACCTCCGCTGCGCCACCATCCTCCTCCTCCCCAGGTGCCCGCGGAACACTCGCTGCACGTGCTTGACGGCGATGGAGAGCTGACGGCGAAGCGCCGCGAGCTTCTCCTGGATGACCTTGCGCACCAGCCGCTCGTTCTCCAGCACCCGCGAGATCCTCTCGTTCCTCTGCGCGTGCAGCAGGGAGTAGCGGAAGAGGCGGCGGGCAATGTGACCTCGGAAGGTACGGGCGATGTTAGTGGCCATGCAGTGATCCCTCCTTAGCTTGGCCTGCAGCTTCTGCTGTCGTCTCTCCTCCTCGAACGCTCTTCGCTGCATCTTTCCTCTCCAGAACGCCTGCACGAAAGCCGCGCACTTATCTCGCATCTTGTCGTCTGCCTGGAGGATCGTGCGGACCATCTCCAGCTTGCTCTGCTCGATGGCGCTGAACTTTGCGTCTTCTTCCTTGGACCTTCGGACCAGCGCGAGGAGAGGAGAGATATCGACGCGCGACATGCCGTTCTGCTTCAACAGAGTCTTGATCCTCTTCAGCTCCTCCTATGAACGCAAATTGTATCAGGCATGCCATCAATGAACTTTCTCGACACCTTATACTCGTCATCTTCCGAATCTGTCGACGAAGACGAGGACGTCTCCGATTGCTCAGTCCCCTCCTCCTCGCTCTCGTCCTGTGGATGGCATGAACAAGACATGAGCAGCCTTGCCGAGCTTCACCTCGTATTGCAGAACAAGAATCTCTGCTTCCAAGTTTGAACCTGTGTTGGTCTGCACAACAAGACAACAGTCACGATCATTCTCAGTCGCAGGTCAAGCAAAGTGGGTACACAAACGTCGAAGTCACCAGAAAACTCACAAAAGATAACATCTCAGTCTTCATGCCCTCTGCATCTTCATGTTTCAGCTCATCCTTGTCTTCCATGTCCATGGTTTCAAACGTGACTCCTTTGTTTGTGATCGCTCTGCTCTCTATCGACCCTGCGCTATCACTCGTCGCTGTTTCCTTCCTTTCCTTCATCTCAACCGTCTTTCCTCTGCTCGCCGTTCCCTGCATACCAGCCCTCAGCATCTCTGACGGTACAAGGGGACGTCGCACCCTCGTCTTGCGGCGAGAGGCAGCCGTCTTCTTTTCCTCCCTCTCTCTTGCCAGCTGAAAGGAGAGGTCAGCATGCCCACATGCGAGGAGAGACGACGACCTCCTCTCTTGCGTTGAGCTCCATGTTCCTCTGCCTCCGCTCCGCCCTCTCCTTCTGCACCACAAACTTGACGAGGTGCATGCGGTACGTCGCCTGTATCTTGATCGCTGCCTTGCGACGTCGATACCTCCAGGCGTACCTGAACGCCATGAGACGGAAGTGACACAAAGACATGATACATACAAGCTCAGAGATCTTCGTATCCTCGCTCCAGCCTCGAACTTAACCTGAGCGCCGGCAGTTACAGCATGGCAGGAGCAGACGCAAGCTACCTGTCGAGAGGGGACAAGTTGCTCTATCTTTGCGAGATTTTCTTTCTGGTAGTATCTACAAAAATTGCTGTCGGTGGACTGAAATCCTTTTTTGATCTGTCTAGCTATCCGCTTCAGGTTCCTGTCACATGTGTTGTGTGAGCACAACGTCGAGCAAACTACGAGCCTGACCAATAATCTTGAGCGCGAATGTTTGAACCCTCGTACTCCTGATCCTCCACGTATGGCCGAGATCGCCCCTCGACATCGTGAAAGTAATCTGCATCACCAACACTCAGTCGTCGCTCCTCCCCTATACAGCACTTACCAATGATGTTCAGCCTGTAAAGCTTCGGATCGTACTCCTCCGTCTTCCAATCAGAGTAAACCGTATGCCCTGGCCCAGGACGCGACGGCAGAAGATGTCGAGCAATATCATGGCCAGTGCCTTGAAGGTTCACAGCTGTGCCGCTTGCGTCCTGGTCGTTGCGGTAAGCACCAGGGTCCTCCTCGAAGTCGCTACTGCTGGAAGAAAACATGTCTTTGTTCTCTCCATCAAGGTAAGTTTCAGCATCAATGCTGCACTGAAGCTCTTGTGTGAGAACGACGCCAGTGCCTTGAGCATATCATACCTGGTTTTCATGATCCTCGTCTTGAGAAAACATGACGCTGGCAGTTTGTAGCGTGAGAAAGCGCTGTCGACGAGCTGGAGGACAGCTACTGCAGCAGCACTACAACAGTTGTGAGGTTGGAGAAGAGGAGGTAACGCAGGGAGGAGAAGAGGAACGAGAGAGGAGAGGAGGAGAGGAGGAGCGAGCAGGAGGGGAAAGAGCAACGGTCCTGCTTCCTACCCCCCGCACCATCACGGCCCGATGCTTCCACACAAAACTTTCGAACTTTTCAAGTTCATCTCAAAGTTTCCGAACGCAAAAGTTTAGAAGTTCCAAAGTTCAATCAACTTCTGACGCCGTCAACTTTGAGTACAGGAGACGTCAAATCTCGTAGCCGCGCTGGTTGTACTGGATACGCAGATGAGTAAAAGCTTTACTCAAAGTTAAGTTAAAAATCAGTACGAGCAAACCGCTGCGATCGTTCCGTCCAACGACGGAGAGTACCTGTACACCACGAGCTTCACAGTCCCTGGCTATGTCACAAGGATCAAGCTCAAGGACAGTGTGACAGGAGGAATGGAGATCGAGTTTCAGTATCTACCGCTCGAATATCCTTGGGGTTGCGCCATCACGTCTGATGATCGATCAATCTACGTGACAACCTCCAACGCAACTTCCAGATGATCTCGCAGCTTGGAGGGAGCAAGGGAATCAGCGACGGCGTTGGTACGTCTGCTCAGTTTCTTTATCTGAAATCGCTCGCAATCACGCCTGACGACCAGCATCTCTACGTGTGCGATTTGGACAATCACTGGGCGAGAATTCGCAAAATTCACCTGCCGACTCAAACCGTGTCAACTCTTGCTGGGTCCACCAGGGGAACGAGCGACGGAAGCGCAACGGACGCGAAGTTTTTACTGGATTTACGGTCTTGTGCTTTCCTCGGACAACAACTTCTTGTACGTCAGCGACTGCCCCAGCGGCTACATTCGAACAAGCATAAGAAAGGTGAGTACTTCTGACGGGAATGTGTCAACGGTCCAGACATTGCAAGTCGCGTCATACAATCTTGCTATCTCACCAGACGGCAAGTGGCTTCTAATGATGGGATGGGACGATTTGATTTACAACATCTCTACTGAAAGTTATGCCGTCACTACTTCCAGCATCCTCCCAGCTGGAGGGACAGGGTTGAGGCTATATTCTCTCAGAGTGTCGAAGTCTGGAGATCTCTTGTACCTCGGGGATAGCTCCATAAGCACAATCGTCCTCACTAGTAGGTGCGTGCCATGTCAGTCGCACATCCCTCTCTTCGCTCACTACACGTCCGAGTGCTCTTGGAGATGCAAAGAAAACTTCCAGCAGCTTGACTTCCCCTCGGAGGTCAACGCCTCTGACTATGTGGACGTGAAGCTGTACGGTGTCTCCCAGCAAGGAAACTTGTCGTCGACTTGTGTTCCTCTTGCACTTCCCCGAGGCTCCGAAGCACACAGTTCAAGGTGCTGGCTCAACTTCACGTGGACTGAGCTGCTGACCTCACAGTTCGTGGCGCGAGCGAGTGACTGGTTGACTGGTGGGCTGGGGAAGCTGATGGTGCGCGATCGATACCTCACTTGGGTATGCCAGAGAAATCACACGTGCGCGGAGAGCGAAGATGCCTTCTACTGCCTCATATTCGATGAGGTCCAGAGCAAGTTCGTAGCATGGGGCTCCCTGACTCAGTTGGGGCTGAGATATTGATAGAAAGTATGCTCACAATCTCCGTCTTGCTGTCTGTGTTTCAAAAAAGGAACTTGTCAAGGATGCCTTTAGCACGATTTGTTTGACCCCCTCTGATAGTTGAGCTAAAAGCACTTGTCTTCACTCCAACTCAAAACGAAAGCAACATCACTTCAAGCACATGCACATGTCATTGAACACGTCTTTGCAAGCGGCGCTTGATTGAGACATCCGACAGTCTTTTTCTCTTCAACTTTATTGTCTAGGCCCTCAGAAGTCGGTCGAAGCTCGAATGAGCAACAAGACAACCTGCCAGTAGCCATGAGACACTGGAGTGCCTCCTTCCTCCCCTTACGCTGAGATGAAACATCATCGTTGACGCCCTCAGGAAGGAACGATCGAGCGTCGACGACGAGCCTGTCAGGTCTGGGACAAGGACCTCGTTAGAAGTTCGTGCAGACAAGGAGGCTGGTGATCCTACTCAGAGCTCTTATCACGCCTCCGGGCACTTGCACGTCCTTTGCCGCCAGCACCTTGGTGCCTACGATCTTCACGAGAGAGTCAGAGGAGGAGGACGAGGGAGTCAGAGGAGGAGGACGAGGGAGTCAGAGGAGGAGGAAGATCGAGATAGAAGGCAGTCAAGTGCCTGCGAGTAGACATAACACATCCTTGGGTTGCCGTTATCGTCCACTACAAGTTGACACGTCAGTCAGGGACGCGGCTGCTTCTCTGTAGGGTTTGACTTACATGGCATGTCCGTGATCGCTGTCGGATACACCATCGGCCCCCCACCTGCGCAACATTGGTCAGTCAGCAAACAAGATGTCAAGAAGGGCCTTGTCACACCCACTCCGACGATCTTGTACTCGCAGTCATCTATCGTGTTCTTGTAGGTCGCGAGGCCTGCGCGTGACGTCAGCAGTTGCGAACCTCATCCCCCCTCCTACAAGTCTTGTTGATGAACTCGAACTGCGGGCTCAGTCCTGCCACAGCGTCATGTTCCACTCGTGAGGTATGAGGGGCTACTGACCCGCGACCCTGTACGTGCACTGATAGCAGCTGGGAAAGCACCTGAACTCAGTGTCACGAGGGCGATGAATGAGCGTGACAGGCAGCGACTACTTGCAACTTGAGATGTCCTTGATCCAGACCCACGTCATGTTCTCATGCCGCAGAGCATTGCGATAGTACTGACACGTCCGGTCAGATGCGAACAGATACTGCATGACTGCTGCACCGCATTGGCGTATCCATCTCCCAGCGCAGTGACGTCGGGCCAGTCAAACTGAGCGCAGATTCTTCCCCTGAAGAGAAGGAGATATGAGGGACAGATGGGGAGGAGAGGGGAGGGGAGGGGAGACCATGGTACTTCATCCATGGGAAACTTGTCCTATACAATAAATGAGCCGCTGCTGACAGGAGCATTCCAAGTTACCTCGGACGGCACATGCCAGCGAGACCAGAGCGTTGGAAAAATGTCTTTGCCCTCACTATCTTTGGCAAACCCTTTGCAGCATAATCATGCACGAGGTGATGGACTAGAGCTGTTTACCAAACTTTGTCTGGAAGTCTGTGCTGTGAGTTGTGTACATTGTAGACTGCAAGGTTGAAATATCAGACCAGAGCAGGCACTTCCGAACGATCACCAGCTTCGAATCGACTATCCACTTGGCTGTCAGGAAAGGGTCAAGGTTGGACTCTGAAAGTCCGTGAGGTCGAAACGCGCATCGAGACTTGAGAATCTTGGTGGTTGTCTGTCCAAAGTTTGACTCAGAACAATCACTTGCAATCTCTTCTCTCTGCTTGCCTGCTGCAAGATTTTCTCCGCGGGGTATGAGCTGCAATCGTCGCCCAGCCTGCATAGCACGTAGAGGTCCGATCCTTGTTTCTGATAGATCTCCTGCACAACTTTCACCCTAGCTCATAGCTCGCACTGACATCATCACGTAAAGAATAGAGTAGGTGTAAGGAAACGGCCCCCGGCAAGCATCTGCCATGGCAGTCAACAAGAGGAAGTCAATTGAGGTCGCGATCACTCGGCAGTCCAACGTTGTTCCTCATTTCGGCAAACCTGATGTCAACCTGATACAACAACGATCACTGCTGCGGCAAGAATGGCTCTCTCGCTACCTTCCATCTACCCATGAGAAAGGGCGGCTGAGTGACATTGGTCGTGTTCGACACAGTCGTAGTCTGCGCGCTGGTTCCGATGAACTGCCCTCCAACAAGCAGGAGGATACAAGAAGCAACGGACCACGCCATGTCACGATCAGTAGTGACGACTCGTCTTACATGGGTCTGCTCGTCGTTCAAGAAGGCTGGACGTCTTCACCAGACTCTCAACACTAGAATCTTCTGCTTACACTCCGTTGCCTGCTGAAAATGCTCAAAAAGCTCGTCAAGAAATGTAATCACGAACTACAATAGAGGAACCTTCCGTTTCATCATGCTTCTCTCCCTTTCCCCTCTCCCGCCATCCTTCCCTCCCTCCTGTCCTTCTCCTTCTCCTTCCCTTCCCTTCCTCCCTTCCCGCTGCTCTCCACTACCATCAATCCATTGTGTTGCCTCCTGACTGGTAGCGGTCAACATAATTACCACCCCTGCTTTGTACACCACCCACCCCATCAGATTCCTCTTTTGATACTAAATTCTCTCTCTCGATTCGATCAAGTACCGGTACTACAATTACCAGTACCCCCTGTATCGCACATGTCAAAGCCATCAAGCATTAGTTTGCTTGAGGCGGGTTTGTAGGGATGATCCTCGCGTCCTCCTTGGTTTGCTTCACAACAAGTCGACGAGAGTGAAGGAGAGGCGAGCAGAGAAGAGAAGAAGTTTTAGAAGAGAAGAGAAGAAGTTTTAGAAGAGAAGAGAAGAGAAGAGAAGAGAAGAGAAGAGAAGAGAAGAGAAGAGAAGAGAAGAGAAGAGAAGAGAAGAGAAGATAAAGGCGCAACGGGCAGGAGATGAATGGATACAATATTTACAAGGAAACATGTACAAGAAGCATCGAAGATGAGAGGCATGGACTTGTCAGATCGCAGGATCAAGGTCTATCGCAGTTGGCAGACCCAGCACAAGTGTCCCCGCACATTGCTGGGAGGATACATATCCTATCATACGCTTGAAAGCTCCAGACGTCTGAGTTGATGTCCGGGTTGAGCAGCCGAATCAGTCGCGTCGTCGACCGCGTCTGGTTGGAGACCTCCACGAGCGTCTTGGCGCTGAAGATCCTGTAGATCACCCCTACGTTCAGCACGTCGCCGGGTCGCAGGTCGTCTGGGTTGCCGTTGAGGGCTGGGTTGACGGCTGCAGTTGCGTCAGAGGAGGTTCACCACAGAGTGGAAGCTCACCAAACAGTTCGATCCAGCTGGACCCGTACAGCTTCACGATTTTCTCGAGCGTGTCCCCTGCCCTGATACAGCGCCTGCAGCGAGGGACGTTGATGTAGACGCAGCGGGTGACTCGGGAGATGTTCACGTTGTCGGACAGCTCGAAGCAAACGATCCACTGCCCCTCCTCCCCGATGTCATGGTCCCAGGAGAAGTTGAAGCTGTACCCCAACACGTCTGTCTGCACGAACCTCGCTCGCGGGGGGAGCCCGTTATACACAAGTCCCGTCCCATTGAAGAGGAAGCGCACGTAATGACTGGGAGTGACGTAGACGGTGTAGGCGGTGGACGTGTCATTCTGTCCTATCAGCACGTCGAAGTAAGTACCGCAGCCAACAAGAGACGTGAAGTTTGTGTTGTTCGCCGTCGTCCCGGCCAAGAACACTGGTCGAGGCATGGGTATTACAATCCTCACGCATCGGATCTCAGTCCTGCTGTCCGTCCCCAGCACGTTCACCTTGGACCCGTAGAAGCAAACCTCGTAGGTCTTGCCGGAGTCGCTCGCCTCCGCCGCAAACGTCCACGTCCTCGACGTCGGGTTGTAGCGGTCCACCATCCCGTTCACGGTAGGCGTGGGGGTCGGGACTTGAGGCCCGATCACCACGTTCGATGGCGGCGGCAGCAACCAGGACTGACCAGCCTCCACGAAGTCGACGCGAACTACTTCTGTCGGGTCTCGGGTCTCCACCGAAACGGTGAAGGAGAGCTGGGAACCGAAGTTGACCGTGAAGACTGTGCCGTCCACAGGGGTGGGGGACACGAGCAGCGGAGGGATCCTAATTTCTATCCGCAGCGAAGCTCTCAGCGAGAAGGCTCGGTCTGCTGGGTCGCTCGCGTTGTACTCGTTGGTCGGGGTATCGAAGGCCTGGAACACGGCGTAGGTGGGGTTAGTCCAGTTGGTTGACAGCAGGGGCCTCCAGGTGAAGGTGTAGACGCGAGGATTCAGCGCTGTGTCAAAGGGTGCGAAAACGGCGTCAGCGCTGGGCGGGACGAGCATCATGATAGTGACTCCGTCATTGACGTTCTTGTCCCTTGCCAGGACCTCGACGGTGATCGTCTTGCCAATTGCCCCGGCTATCACGATGTCTTGACCCGCAACCACGTTGTCTGCCCCGATGGAGATCACTTCAGGAGGCGTGTCGATGGGGGCACAGCAACCCAGCGAGTCTCCCAGCGTTGAGAACTTGGCTGTCCCCTTGAAGCTGCCATGATGTCTGTTCATGACGTCGAGCGCAATGAAGGGAACAGCTCCGATCTGAAAGTCGTAGCAGTCGATGATGTACACGCTAGAGCCTGTGCAACAAGGTGTGAGAACCTGATTGTGCAAGAACAGCAAAGGTCAACTCCACCTATTGCAGTGTCGCCAGCCTGAATAACATCGATCAGGAACGACTGGTGAACGATTCATGCTTCTCACCGTCAAGCACGTCCCTGTGAGTTGACTTCGGATCTGTCCTGTAGCAGTGATTTCCCACTGCTGGTTTGTTGCGCCCTGGATACAATTCGCGATGTAGATGTTCATCCCATCCCACGGACCCACGGCATCGATGGAGAGACACGCTTCAAACCTACTGGCCGGACGTAGTTGCCCCCCTGCTTCCAGGTTCGACTTGGACCAGCGCATGTTGTCTGGAGGAGAATTGCCACAGCTGTTGATCTCCACGGGAATAGCTGCCGTGACGTTGACGTATGAGGAAACCGCCAGACTTGGCTGAACCGTCAGTAGAATTTACTACGCAAGCATGTCAAACACACCATTGCGGCGAATTTGAGGGGCTTGACTGCAAAATGTAAGAACCATCCTGAGTCTGTGCCCAGAGCTGATTGCCAGCCCTGAATGAGATTGATTAGCTTAAGCAAAAGAAGTCGGTTGGTTTTGGATTCACCTGCAGAGGTCTGGCGTACAGACCGCCTGACATGACGTTGCCAAAGCAAGGGAGGAAATGAAAAGATGTCAAAAGAAAGAGAGGAAATGAAAATACGTCTACCTCATTGAAGTTCCAATACGCCTGAAGGGATGTTGCGACAGGAGTCGTCAGTCCTATGGTGGAGTACTGCAGGATCGGGATTTCTGCAGTGCTCACTGCTCTTGACCAGAACCTCATCTCGTCCAGTAGCCCAGCAAAGTATTGCTGGCTGTTGAGATTGCTGGGGATAGGAAACTGTTTCCCGATCAGCAGGTCATTCGAAGGCCAGAATGAGATTCCTGCCAGTATCTTCACTTCATCACCTTCAGAGCAAATATGATCTCACCGTCAGATGACTGAAACGTGCTGGAAGCAACTCTGACAGAGTTGATGTACAAACTCATGCTTGACGGCGAGCACACTTGATTGGTGCAGGAGCCCCGGTTGAAGATGGCTGTGAAGTAATACCAGGTGTTCTCGCTGATGGTGCTGTTGATGGTCTGCTGAGTCGACCCGACCGTCGCCTTGAACAAAAGATTCCCCCTGAACTGCTGCCCGCTCACAAGAACCCCGAAGCCGCTGTAGGATGCCAGCTTGTCATCGGTGACAAGGCAGCTAATCACTCCTCCCTCTATGTCTGTGCCGATGAAGAGATTCCTCGGTCTCATCCACCCATCTAGGGTCAACGACCCCGGCACTTCAAACCACGTCGGAGCTGATGTCTGCGAGGATCGACGAGGATTGACGAACACAAACCCTGGGTCTGGGGGATATTTGTCCGCGAATGCTGCTCAAAGCAGGTGTAAGAGATATGACACCCGAGAGGAGGAATAGGAAAAACGAGCTCTGGTGGAGGAAAGGAGATGAACAAGAAAGGCTCAAGAAGAAAAGGCGAGCTGGAGGAGGAGCGCGTGCATACCCCCTTGCTTCCCGTCCAGGAAGACGCTCTGCTCTGCCCTGCCCTTCCCCCTCGCCATCGCCGCCATCGCCGCCGCTACCAAAACCCGCAGCCATGGTACCACCATTCGCCGGTCGGTTGAAAACTTTGAGAAGGCGGTCAAGTTTTTTTTCATTCTCCAAAAATTTGCAATATATGTACCGTACAAATATAAAATGTTTTTGTTGTTTTAGCTTTTGACTTTTTCAGTACTAAAAAAAGTATTGACTGGAGATCGGAATCAATAGTACCAGAAACAATTTCACTCTCTTGGATTCTCAATACACCTCTTTAAAACAATATTTACAATATTTACAAAAAATATTGTTTTTTAGTTAGGGGTTTCCGGCGGTGGGCACAATGAAATGCTCAGTGGGACGGCAAGATGAAAGCAGGAGGGGAGGAGGGAGGCAGGAGTGAGCAAGGAGAGGAGACTGTTCTGAGCATGTCCGAGGGTGCTCTGCTGTAATGGTCGCTATTGAGCTCCCGAGGGCATCACACTTGTGCTACATGCGTCTTCAGCTTCCGAAGTCAGCCATAAGCGCCTCTAGTATGACCCATGAGCGCTCCGAGCCAAACCCGAGCTCCGCCGCCGCTGCTGGCAGTGACGAGATTTTTCATGTCGTCTCTCCGTAGGCATTCAAATTCAGCAACCTGACTCGCTCGCCGGTGAAGGGCAGATCAAGCTCCGAGATGAAAGATTCCGGAGGCAGTACAAAGAGGCAATGGAAAGAGCGAATAGCCAGGCGTTTCAGGACACACGCTCGTATCGATTCAGTCTGCCCGTATTGCAAGCATGTCATCTGCACTCAGGGGTGCAGCGAGATGCAGAGAAAGAAGGACGTTCTCTTGTCGTGGTTCTACGCTTGTAGGAATAAGAAACGATGCGAGACTGCCACGGACGAGTCAGCGTCAAGCGACAACGCCAACGAGTACAACATGTCAGAAGACGATGGCTACATGTCCTCCGAGGGAGGCAGAGATCCTGACATGACGGTAGCATGTCTCTTGATGGAGGCAGACGTCTGACTTGAGCTTCAGCCTCCTCTCTCGTCCTCGGACGAAAACCTCGTCGGAGAAGCTCCTGTGCTGGCCAAACCCTCGCAACCACCCCGACTTGTGCTCGAACCGCCTCGCACTGGGATCGAGACCTTGATGCATCCCCCGCCATGGTTGCCTCGCTCGCGTCATCTTAAAAGCTTCTCCTCTCACTAACCTTCCTCTCAGGCACTTCGTGGGTCAGGGGAACGATGGAGGCGAGCCGTTGCTATCGGAGGCCCCGGTCTGTGGCAGGCTGCCGTCGGATGGCTCAGACCTTGAGTTCTCAAGGGTTGTCTTCGAACGCGCCTCGAGGAGCAACCCGCTCATGATCTCAGAGACTGTGAGGAAGGGCAATGCGAGTTGTCGGAAGTTTGACAAGTCATTCAGAGATCGTTTGTTGTCGACCATCTCCCGCCGTACTACGTGCCCAAGAACAGCAACGACAGCACCCTTGTCTTCGAGTCTCGGTTTGAGAGCGGCAACCTCCAGCGGGCCGTGCGAGTGAGCTGAGAGGGTTGAGGTGGGGAGGAAGGTTGTTCAGACTATTGCTGCAGACGGGAGATTTCTGTTACGATCTCTTTCTCTGCACGGACTACAATACCAACTCTCATACTCAATGGTTTTACTTTCAAGTTGGAAACACGAGAGCAGGTCAAGTCACTTTCTGTCGCCCTTCTACCTCCATCAATGCTGTTTATTTCCTGCAAGCATCCTCTCCTTTGCCCTGCTCTCCTCCCTCCCCTTCCCTCCCCTCCTCTCCCCTCCCCTCTCGTCTCCCCTCCCCTCTCGTCTTCCCTCCCCTCTCGTCTTCCCTCCCCTCTCGTCTCCTCTCACCTCTCGTCTCTTCTCACCTCTCCCCTTCCCTCCCCTCCTCTCCTCTCCCCTCTCGTCTCTTCTCACCTCTCGTCTCTTCTCACCTCCCCTTCCCTCCCCTTCCCTCCCCTCCTCTCCCCTCCCCTCTCGTCTCTTCTCCCCTCTCGTCTCCTCTCACCTCCGCCTCCTCGTCCTCGCAGGCGTCAGCTATCGGTTCAACATCGTCAACCTCGTGAAGCCTCGATCCCTGTACAGCGGGTGAGCGAAGGGAAAAAAGAAACAAGGAGATGACTGCTTCTCCAGCGGCCTACAGCCTCTCATGTACTCGTCCATGAAGGAACAGCGTCAACATGTACTCTTTATCGTCTGACCCTCTCTCTCCTTTTCGCTCACTTCCCTTCAGGTTGGATGGCATCGATGCGGAAAGAACATCTCTTACAGGATGAACCCGACCACCATAGAGCGACGAGACGTGAGGGGAGGGAGACGACGAGGCGGGGCCGTTGACGTGTGAGCAGGAGACTGAGAGACAAGAATTCTATCGCACTTTGAGTTTCGAAGTCCAAGTGAGACACACTGGAGGACCTCTTGCGCCTTCTCCCTGACCTGTTGCTCCCAGTTCCCTTTCGATGACGACGTTTGCTACATCGCCCACTGCTTTCCGTACACATACACAGGCAGGTCAGTCGCGTGATTGACGTGATTTGACGGTTTTTTTAGACCTGCAGAGGCTGTTGTTCGCGATCGAGCATCCAGAAGCATCTGGCAAGCAGGCAGACTCGCAGGTTTCTCCGTCAGAGTTCTTTCAAAAAAACTTGTTGTGCAAGACGATTGCTCGTGAGTGGCAGGAGAGGAGAGGAGAGGAGAGGAGAGGGGAGGAGAGGAGAGGGGAGGGGAGGTGAGGGAAAGGGAGGGGAGAGGAGAGGAGAGTAAAAGAAGGAGACGAGAGATGCTCTGGTAGAAATGTTGCTTACATGCTGTCAGGAAACAAATGTCATGTGTTGACAATTACAAACATGGTTCTTCGTGTCGCTTCTTCTTGTTGCTCTTGTAACTGCCCACCAGGTCCCTCGCGAAGTTCCTGGGCCGGACTATTTGCCCAGGAATGAAAGGAAGGGGATAGTAATTACTGTGAGTGAAGAGGGGAGGAGGAAGGAGGAGGGAGGAGGTGGAGTATGAATATGGAGAGCAGGAGAAGCAGGAGGGAGGGAGGGAGGGAGGGATTGATCTTCATGCTTCTCAGGCTCGTGTGCATCCTGGGGAGACCAACAGCAGCTGGATGATGGATGGGATCTTACGATTCCTGACGGGTGACTCGGAGTTGGCAGACCGGTACTGAGGGAGGAGGAGGCAAAGCAGCAGAGGAGGACAAGGAGGAGGAGGAGGAGGAAGAGGAGGAGGAGAAGAAGGAGGAGGAGGAGGAGGAGGAGAAGAAGAAGAATGAGGAGGGGAGTGAGGATTGGTTCGAATGTGATGAATTAGAGAGGAGAGATAGAGACAGAGACTGAGCAAGTTTGTCTTGGGTGTTGTTGATGAAGTTGATTTTCAAGGTTGAGAAATCGTTTTGTCTTCAAGATCGTCCCCATGTTGAATCCTGATGGCGTCGTCCTGGGAAACTACAGGACAGGACTAGCGGGTCTGCTCCTCTTCCTTCCTCTCTCCTCTCTCCTCGCTCCTCTCCCTTCTCCTCCCTCCTCCTCCTCTCCTCTCTCCTCCCTCCTCCTTCCCAGTTTCTCCTTCATCTCTTCCTTTCTTCCTCCTCTTCCTCCCCATTTTACTTTCCCATGTTCCCTTCCTGTCACTGCTGGATCCTGTACCTATCCTGATCTTTCTCGATGCGGCTCTCTCCCCCGCGTATCCTCTCCAGTCTCCTCCTCTCCTCTGACCCTCCTTATATCATCTCGCTTTAGTTGTCTTGTCTTTTCTCCTTGCTTGTCAGTCTGCTCTCTCTTCCTCTTCTCTTCTCTTCTCTTCTCTTCTCTTCTCTTCTCTTCTCTTCTCTTCTCTTCTCTTCTCTTCTCTTCTCTGCTCTTCTCTTCTCTTCTCTTCTCTTCTCTTCTCTTCTCTTCTCTTCTCTTGTCTTCTCTTCTCTTCTCTTCTCTTCTCTTCTCTTCTCTTCTCTTCTCTTGTCTTCTCTTGTCTTCTCTTCTCTTCTCACAACAGCGGCAGGTCACGATCTCAACAGAAGGTACGTGGAGGCATCGCGGCTGATCCATCCGACCATCCACCACCTGCAGGTGAGAAGAAGGGAGAAGAATGAGCAGAGAGGGGAGAGGAGGGGATGGGGAGAGAGAGGAGAGAGAAGGGAGGAGAGAGTAGCAGGAAGAAGAGGAGTGGAAGGAGAGCAGAGGAGATAGAGCAGTTGAGAGAAGAGGGGAAGGATTGTGAGGAGGGACGGGAGGAGAGATGGAAGGGGAGAGGCGAGGACGAGGACGAGGACGAGGACGAGGACGAGGACGAGGACGAGGACGAGGACGAGGACGAGGACGAGGACGAGGGACTGACTGTGATATTGAAGAGGATGGTCAAGAGGTTCAAGAGGGAAAGGGAGGTGAACGCTTGACTCCTTCTCCTCCTCCCTCCTCACGTTGCATCTCAAGATCGCCCTCTACCTTGACCTTCACGGCCATTCCTGCAAGAACAATGGTATGTTGCAATGGGTCTCCTTCACTCCCTTCCTGTTCCCCGCCCTCCTTGTCTCTTCCCTCTCTTGTCTTCACCCCCCCACCTTCTCCACACTCTACATCCTTCGTCTCCTCTTTCCTCCTGTCTACTGCCTCTCTCCCCTCTTCTTTCTTCCTCCTCTTCTCTTCCTCCCCCCCCCTCGCGCGTTGTTTCCTCTTGCTCTCTGCTGTTCCTGACTCGAGATGTAGTTTTTGTTTACGGGTGTGAAGCGAAGGGATGGAGAGACTGGAGGATCGGACAGGTCAACCAATCTATTACAGTATCATCACGAACAAGATTTGCGATAGAGATAATGATGATGATGATGATGATGATGATGATGATGATGATGATGATGGAGATGATGATGATGATGATGGAGATGATGATGATGATGAAGATGATGATGATGATGGAGATGATGAGGAGGAGGAGGAGGGGGAGGAGAGTGATGAAGTCGATGACGATGACGCCGACAATGATGACGATTCTTTCAGAGAAATGTTCCACCTCCGCAACTTTTCAGTGAGCTTGTCTTCCCGACTCTTCTTTCCGAGCAAAACTCGTCATTTTCACTCGAAGGTGCGAAAAGACGGAGAAGACGATGATTGACAAGGAAAAGAAGAAAATGGAGATGATGATGAGACGATAAAGATCAGGGATATGTTGAAGGTGATGTTTGTTTTGGTAGACTGCAAGTTCAAGATCAGGAAGAACAAGAATGCAACCGGGCGAGCCTTCATGTGAGTGTCTTGTTGGTTAATAGCTTGCTCTCTCCTCTGTTCCTCATCCTCGTACAGGTGGAGAGACTTTGGCATCGCCAACACTTTCACTCTCGAAGTTTCTTTTGCGGGTCCAAGGCGAGGAGAAAATGCGAACATGTGAGGATTTGTGTCATCTTGTTTTATGCTGACTTGACTTGTCTTGCTCATCTTTTCTTGTCTGTTCAGGCACTTCGGCATTCAGAACCTGAGGGACATCGGGGTGGACATCTGTCATGTGAGAGCGGAAGGGAGAGGAAGACGAAGAGGAGACGAGGATACGGACAGAGGGGGAGGGGAGGAGGCGATGGAGTCAGAGAACAAGGGGAGAGAGGAGGCAGGAGGAAAGAAGGCGGAGGAAGGGAGGAGGAGGAGGAGGAGGAGGAGGGAGGAGCCTGGGGGGCGTTGGACTTTACGTGAGTTGACTGGTAGGCAATCTGGAACATGTTGGGACCAGACGGTCACAAGAATTTCAGTCGCATCGTCCAGCAAGCGGTGAGGGAGCAGTGAGCTCGCCGATGATGACGACGAATGCAGGCGAAGAAAGCGGAAGAGGAGAAGAGGCTGCGGTAGAGGAGGAGGAGGAGGAGGGAAGGGGAAGGGGAGAGATGGGGAAACGGGGGAGAGCGGGAAAGGAGGAGGTAGGCTCTGTGAACTGAAGGTTTGGTCAGGATGATGAAGATCGAGATGGAGGAGGAGGAGATGGTAGCCTGGAGTTCTGCCGTCCCTTGTGACGAGAAGCAGGAGAGGCGGCTCAAGTCAGACGTCAGCGACAACTCCAAGGACAGTGACAGCGGGTCTGAGGGATCAGGAGACGAGAGCAGGTCTGTTCACCCTCCTTCGTTCCCCCCTCGTTCCTCTTCCTCTTCCTCTTCCTCTTCCTCTTCCTCTCTTCATGTTCCTTCTTCTCCCCACTCCCTGCCCTTCATCGCTCCTCCTCCTGTCTCTCTTCGCCAATCTCCCCTCTCGTTTCCTCTTATCTCTTGCAGCCTTGTGCCTCAACCTTGCTGTGTGCTTTCATCTTCATCCCTCCGCTTCTCTCTCTGACTTTTCCCAGCGACGAGGAGACGGAGAACAATCCCTTCGTCATGGTGCGAAAAGCTCAGGTGGCGAACATCCTCCTTGCTTCCTCCTGTCCCTCTTGCTCCTCCTCTTTCTCCCCATCTTCATTTCCTCCTTCTTCTCTCTTTGTCTCGTCTGGTCTTGCCTAACCTTGCAATGTCTTTCATCGTTGTTTTGTTTCTCCGCAGCCCTCATCAGCTAGGACTGCAACTGCTCACTTCCTCAGCCTTGTAAGAGAGTGTCCTCCTGCTCCTGCCCCTCCTGCTCCTCCTCATTCCCCTCCTCATTCTCCTCCTGCTCCTGCCCCTCCTGCTCCTCCTCATTCCCCTCCTCATTCTCCTGCTGGTGCTCCTCCTCCTCCTCCTGCTCCGCCTCCTGAACTTCTCTTTCCTTGCCCTGCTCCCCTGTTTTCTGCCTGTATTGCATTCATCAATTTCTTTCAGGGTCTTCATTCTAACGGGCTGGGTCGACCACTCAAGGTCTGACATCTTCATCCTGCTATGCTCTTCCTCTCCCCTCCCCATCCCATTTCCTCCTCATCCATTTCCTCCTCCTCCATTTCCTCCTCCTCCATTTCCTCCTCCCCTCTCCTCTTCTCCGTTGTCTCGTTCCCTGTATCTCCTCTGTCCTCTTCTTCCTCGACATGATTGTGTCTACCAGGTTCAAGATCCTCCACCTCGTCCTCCTCAGACCTCAAAGCGCTTCACCCCCATGAGGTGACAAAAACCTCCTCCCTCCCTCCCTCCCTCCCTCCCTCCCCATCCCTCTCTCTTCCCCCACTTCCTTCTTGTCCCAGTGCTGATCTGCTTCCATCGCAATTCTTCTTCTTGTCCTTCCCTGACAACTCTATCAGGCTCAACACTTCTTCCGGCATCGTCTCCTTCGACCTCCAGGTGAGCTTGTTCCTCCCCGTTCCCTCCCTCCCTTCCTTCCTCCTTCCTCCCTCTACCTCCACTCCCTTCCTCCCTTCCTCCTGCTCCACCCCCCC